CACTTGCTCCGATCTGCCCGAAACTCGACATGCCGGATCACAGTCCCGCCGTGCGCGAAGGCCGACAAGCGTAGGTGCGAGGACCCGTCCATCGCCGCTTGCGGCTTTAATTTCCCCTGACTTCCTCCCAAGTGAGCTGGATGTTGCTCTCCTGCACCAGTAGGTGGCAGCAGTTCCTGCAAAGACCATCAAAGCTCTGCTCTCCACATCCTCCATACAGAGACTACTGGAGACACTGGTACCTGGTACCGCTGTGCTTCTGTCTGCAGAACCCCTCATTATGAGTGTCTACCACCACAGAAGAAAGCTTTCTGCAGACAGAAACGTGGCATCAAGGCGTAACTGTGGGCTCACCAGTGTCTCCAGTAGTGGTCGGTCCCTATATGGAGAGCAGAACCTTGATCTTCTTTGCAGAACCTGCTGCCACCCTCTGGTTTAGGTACATCAGCAAGACCTGAATCCAGATTTAAACGCAGCCTTCACATCAATGCAGTGTTGAGCATCATGTTGTTCACTTGGGAGGAAGTCAGAGGAAATCGGTGAGGAGGCATCAGTATGAACAACTTAATCCTCACCGCCGACTGGAGCACAAACTGGGGTTATTAGAACCCTATAGATCGGTTCTGGACGTGTTCAGAAGGACTGTCAGAGAAGCACTTCAGGTCTGTCTGTGTCAACAAAAGAACACAGAAAAAGATCCACCAGCAGAACAGCGTCGTTACTCCGTTATCTAGAAAAACTCAGGATGTTAAACCAACACTATCGCACAGATCTGTACGTCAGGAAAACGGATCAGCAGCTTCACAAGTAGTAGGTCGGGACTCGGCTGTCCCCCTTCATCTGAAGCCGACTCAGCTCTCTGTAGTGGCTCCGTGTGCAGAAGCACAGAACAGCCTCCTGGGTCAGAATCTAACACCAATCTGAACTCATTTTTAATCTGAGGGAGTAACTAGCGCGAGCAAACGGAGTAAAATGACTTTCTTCTCCCTGTTTGCTCCCTGCAGCCCTTCATCAGGCCCGAGACCAAATTCTGGCCGAGCATCTCCAGGATCGACGACATCTACGGCGACCAGCACCTGGTGTGCACCTGCCCCCCCATGGAGGTCTACGAGTCCCCGTACGAGGAGAACCGAGCCTCCTCGTAGACGCCCCCTACGGCTCCGTCCCGACGTCGCGCTCAGAACCCTGGAGCCTCACAGACCGGCACCTCTGAGCTCAGTGGGAGCAGGTTAAAGGTTAAAGGCTCACGATGCTGCACGTCAGCTGAGGGAAGCATCTCCATAGAAGCTTTTGATAATTCCATCAGTCAGCATGCTCAGTTTTATTAAACCTTATCTAAAATGTATGACAGAACAGGTGCTCTGACAGAATATTTAGGGTTTATTGAATCAGTTAATCACCTCAAACACAACCTGCTGAGAGCCTTCCAGCTCCTGATCTCAGTGGAGCAGCTCTGAGGACGCAGCAGGTGTCGGTCTGTGAGACATCGGACCTGAGCTCTGACGGCACCCTTTCTACCGGAGTCGCCGCAACTCGAACTCTTCAAATGGACCAAAGGTGCAACTTTTTGCTTTCCCAAGTTTGCAAAAAAAAAAACAACAAGCGCACCCGTCGACGCCGAGGCCACTTGGTACCACACCTCTGAAACGCTGGGCTTGGAGCCGAGTGCAGCTCGTTTCTTGACTCCCGACATCTTTCTTTTTTTTTTAAACAACCCTCGGTGCCTCTATTCTGTTGTGTAAAATAGCTGCCTTGACTTTTCCCATTTTTTCAAATTCCTGACAAACATAGGAGTGGTAGTTCCTGTAGGCTTTTTGTTAATATGCATCTATTATTTGAAAATGTTTTAATATGTGTTGTGACATTTGTTGACCGACTAGATAAAGACAGTCTTAATTTTAAATGAATATTTTCTAATCTAAACTGTTCTCTGTAGAAAAAAACGTCTATATTAAAACATTTTTGTCTTAAAGTGTGGACATCTCTTTTATGAAGACTACAGCTGGAATTTGTTTAGGACAACACTGCCCCCTAGTGGGTGAATATGGTTTTACAGGCACAGACGGAGCAGCCGTTGTTCTGTGAAACGGTACAAACGCTCATTTCACCAGGCAGTCGTTGACATATTTGAGTTGTTTGTCTGAGTGAGCAACAGTTTAAAAGCGCTCACAGAACCAACGGATTTCATGCATGAGAAGCTGGAACCGAAGCAGATGAGCGAATAATCGCTTCGTCGCAGAGTGATTTCCTTTTCATCGACTAGTCGCTTTATCTTTGAGCTGTGAGTGAAACCAGCTGAAGCCAGTCTGAGAATAAGCTTACGTAACAGCACTTTTAGCATGTTAGCGATTTGTACAGCACATACCACAGATTCCCAAAACGCGCCGCTAACGTCCTCTCCTGGCTTCAGTTTCATGTTATGAAGGGCAGCTCCCCCGAGACCTCACAGCAGCTACGTGGGATTCAGCTTTGGGAAAGTCGGAGGCAGAGCTGATCAGGAATATACATCCAGACATTAAAAACCAACGGTGCAGGTTTACGTCTTAAAACGATGTTAACTGTTGATATGAAAAAGGTTTCAAACAGACACAACTTTAAAACTTAAAGACTGATTTTTATAGTTCAATAAAAGTGAGTTTTCATTCAAACCATCGGTGCAGGGACTGATTCTGTGAAATGATTCATTTACAACAGTTTATATGAAAAAACCTTTTATCTAATTAAACCATTTTAAAGCTCGACGACTGAATCATACATTCAGACATAAAAACAGCTGAAGCTACGACCTGCTGCCTGCAATTAATTCACTGAAACAGCTTAGAGTGTTTGTTGTCAGGTGAAACAGGTTATATATGGAGGGTTATTAAACACTTAAGTGGTTCCAAAAGGCCAAACCTTGTTTCCTTTTCAAGTCTTTAAAAAGTCTCTATTGCATAAGAACAAGTGGGCAGGATAAATATTTATTAGCGCTCCGCGGCGGCGGTTCACGAGTTCACAGAAAGTCAGCGCTCCAGTAACGAGAGGAACCCGAGCAGCCTGACCCACATGCTGCAGCAGGTTCAAGCCTTAAAGCGACAGACCCAACGTCCTGCTGACGACTTCTCAGTCAGTCAACAGACAAAAACAAAAATGTCATCAATCAACAGCTCATGAATTTACCTGTTGTTCTACAGCAGTGATGCTGCAGCGGCGAAGTTAGAAGAGAAGTGAAAAGATCCAAACCAACAGTCCTACATTCAGGCTTCTTTCTCTGAGCTGTTCCTAAACATGGTGAGATAAGCTGATCGAACAGCTGAGAAATTTATATCATGTTCTGCAGTTTAACTCTTTACACCCTCTTGTGCAAAACATAAGAACTGGTTTTTGAGGAAAACACTTCACCTCTGTAGAAATGCAGCTGTCTGTCTGTGACCTCTTTTAAGATTTACAGCTTGACAAGAAGCTAACTCTGCTGGTTTAGCTGTTTTCATGGAAGTTGTTGTGGTCGAACACCGTCAGCTGTATTCTGTAAACTCTTGAGAGCATCAGTGCTGAAGATGAAACCTGCTGCAGTGTTTCAGACTTAAAGCTCGGCAGGTGTGAGGAGTTGAACCGATCCGATGTTTGGTCCTCCGGGGTTAAAACAACTTGTGTGTCCTGCAGAGTGTCTCCAGGTTGCAACCAGCCAGCCAACACATCAGTGGACTGTTTCTAAGTTTGATTGTAAAAGCCGCGACTGAATCAATGTTCAAGTGCAAAAATGAAGTAACTGTGCAGCTTCCATTCGCCCGCCGGTCAGACGTCTTACGTAACCGAGTCTCACTTGACTTTTCCCGGCTGCCAGTCCTCCGGTGTGTTAATGGCCTGGTGAACTTCAGCCTCCACGGCTTTCCTCTTCTGCAGCAGGCTGTCGACCGCCACCACAAACACCGCTGACGTGATGAGGCAGAGGCCGGAGAGGTAGAAGGCAGCGCTGAAGTCTTTGGTCTGGTCCACCAGCCAGCCTGCACCAGAAACACAGGAGAGCAAAAACCACACAGTCATGAATAAATGAGCAGGAGCGTCTCTGCAGGAGCACGTGGACCTGCAGCCAGACATCTGAGCTGCTTCAGGTTAACCTGTGACGTGTGCGCTCCCTCTTTAAGGTTTAAATCGGTTCCAGGGGAAATCTTTCATTTCAAGTCGTCACTGTGGAAAAGTCCATTAAATAAGTGCAAAGCAGATCAGCTCATAGAGACGAGCCACATGAATAACAGGTGATGTCACTTCTGGAAACTCTGATCAGATCTTTGATGTCCCACAAATACAAAGATTTAAAGATTAAAGAAAAAGAAGGAGTTCTGCACTTTGTTCTTTAGATTTCGAGCTAAAAACAGAAGCTAAATACGATCACGGTGACGAACGAGATGCTGAGCAGGTTTATACTTTAGATTTATGATTTCCTAGAAACCCACTGCTCCTAAACGCCTCATCGTTGTAGTCACGATGCTCCATGTTCAGCACTACAGGAACACATCCACACACAGGAGGTCCAGACTGGATGGAAACGGAAAAACCTCTGCAGTAAATCACCTGACATGACAGAAGTATTTGAACTTCACTAAACGTACTTTGAGTAAATCACGGCTTCCTGGACAGCAGAGGAGGAGCTCTGACTGATCATCAGACTGTGTGACAGCTCACCTGGTCGACGTGAACAAAGGTACGAGCTGTACCTGCTGTTACTGTCACATCGATCCCGGCTGCACACGGCTTATAGGATCAGAAAGACTTCAGGAAGTTACAGCAGGTGCAGAAAAAGCAGAATCGCACGTTAAATTCTAACTTACATGAAATAAGTTTTGTGATTTAAAGAGGAGTTTGTGTGAAACTTTGGCAGCTGAGGTCACCCAGACGGTGTCTTCTGAGCTCCCTGAGATGTTCTGCTGAGATGTGGAACAGCCCTGATGTTCACATTACATCTTGTGTGCAGAGGAAACCAGTCTGACAGTTTGTTTTCGTCCTGGCTGAGCTCTGACGCTGAGGTTAGTTTGGGAAGCCCGACGTGTCGAAACCCTGACGGTAAACCTGCCTGCGGGGACGGGACCGCTGGATGTTCCCTCTGGATGAGAAGAACATGCTCATGATCAGAAATGAGATTACTTCAGAACCCTTTCATGTGCTGCCAGGTTCACTTTGTTATCCACACGCTGCCTAATGTGCTTTTGTCCAAGACGTGGCTCTGACACGTCCTCTGGGTGTTTGGAGCTACGGTCGTACAAGTAACTGCAATTAAACATTTGATCGTCTCGTTCTGTTCAGTTCATGCTTGTTCTGGTTGTAGTTCTCGGTATCGGCCTGTAACCGCCACGTTCTGGCTGCAAACCAAGAAACCGTCGGCCTCAAAGTCGTCGTGCTCTCATGTCCAAATGAGCTCCAGCGTTTGTTTTCTAACTGAATCCATGACGTGAATAAAATATCAGAAGTCAAGGGACTCGCGTTAAACAGTCGGCGCAGCAGGAGAAGAAACAGGGACTGAATCAGATCCCTTCTGTTGGTCGTTAGTCTGTGCAGACGAAGGAAGCTACGATTCTGCAAAATGATTGGTCAGAGCCAAGACTTGTGATCAGGCAACTGTGGAATAACTGTGACAGGTTTGGCCACATCATCATCCATCCATCATCTCTACACCTTAGTCCTCACCAGGGTCATGGGGGGCGGAGCCTATCCCAGCTGACTCAGGGTGAAGGCAGGTTCACCTGGACAGGTAACCAGTCTATCACAGGGCTACACTTAGAGACAGACAACCAAGCACACTCACATTCACACCTACGGACAATTTACAATCACCAATTAACCTCAGCATGTTCCTGGACTGTGGGAGGAAGCCGGAGAACCCGGAGAGAACCCACGCTGCACAGGGAGAACATGGAGACTCCACGCAGGAAGATCCCGGGTGTCCTCACCGGGACGTGAACCGGCAACCTTTTAGCTGTGAGGCCACGATGCTAACCACTGAGCCACCTGCACATCGTCATAAAGGATCTAAACTTGACAATAAAAGCTGAGTAGGATTCTTTCTTCCATCAGCCGTCTGCTAGTCTGGGTGAGAAGATGTCGACACTCTGAGGTGACTGGTTTGACTGCACACGTCCATAATTATGAAATAACGTTCTAGGAACTTTCTAGGAAACACTGATGCCAGTTGCTACTTGTCGACGTATAATCGTGTTCCTGTTAACTTCTTCCCTGAACTCTGTCATACAACAAATCATTTCCCAACATTTCCTGTTCAGAAGAGCAATGATTTACTTCTTTGAAATGGATTCCTCTCTGCGTGTTTTTACTAAACTACTATTTCAACGATTATTTGGATATTACAGATCACAGATAATAAAAGTAAAGCCTCACATTCAGTTTTTTAAATCTATAAACCTGAAGAAGCTTTTTCATTCTAGCGTCTGTGTTTCGTCCTTCTCACGTGACCTGTGCTGCTCTAACACCTCACTTCCCTTTGAGCAGGATCCTGTCTAATAAAACGCACTTAATCACGTTAATATGAACTAATGCACTGAGTAATGTTTGGTTCTGGTACCTGCTTGTGCCGTCTCTGTACCAGCTGCTGTACCAACCTTCTAGTCCAAACACGAACTGCTCACCTGCAGCAGGAGGACCAATGAAACCCCCGATGCTCCTGAACATCATGAAGAGCCCCAGGCCGCTGTCGAACCCCTCCAGGCTCACAATGTCCACGATGGAGGTGATGTGAATGGCCACCACGCAGCCGAACAGGAAGCCGTAGAGGGAGGCGAACACCAGGATGACCCAGTAGTTGTGGCTGATGGGCAGCAGCAGCAGAACCACCCCGAGCAGAGTGGCCACCATGGTGAGCAGCTGCAGGTTCCTCAGCAGCCGCATGTTCGCGATCCACCCGCAGACCAGCCTCCCCGCCAGGTCGGCCAGCGCCAGGACGGAGAGGATGGAGGCCGGCCAGTACTTATCCATCCCCAGGCTGTTGGCGAAGGGCACCAGGAAGAGAGGCGGGATGAAGAACCCCGCCGCTGCGAAGATGGCGAACAGGATGTAGAGCAGGAGTTCTGGTTTGGTCATGAGGGAGCACTGGAAGAAGGCCTTCCTCTTGGGTGGCGGCGCAGCAGCGTCTGCTTCCAGACAGTCTCTGGCGTCCCGGCTCGACTCCAGAGGCCTCATGAGGGCGCCGCAGACGCACAGGTTGAGCTGAAGGCCTCCGATGACGAGCAAGGCGCCCTGCCACGTGTACGTCTCGATGAGCCACTGGAAGAAGGGGCCGAACATGACGGCGAAGACGCACTCCCCCGAGCTGGCGATGGCGTAGGCGATGGGACGCCAGCGAACAAAGTAGTGGCTCACCATGCTGCTGGCGGGGATCCACGAGAAGGAGATGCCCAGACCTGGAACAAGGAGACTGGAAACCATCAGCATCATGCAGGTGGTCGCCTTCAAGTGAGATCTGTTCGTCCCACATGTGTAGAAAATAAAGAACATGTGATTTCATGTCTGGATTAACCTCTACGGTACTTTGTTAGTTAATCATTTTGGCTGTAATGAGTCAAGATTTAACATCAGATGATAAAGAAAAGTAGAAAATCTCTGCCTGTAAGATCATCGTCTTCTTTTTGTTTCTTTATTTTGGCGTCTCGTTCTGTGTTAGATGTTGTGACTCAGTTGCTTTTAGTCATGAAAGAACCTCCTTTCTTACACAATGCAGCTCAGGGCATCTCCATGCAAACATGTCGGGCTGCATAACTCGCTGCAGCGGATCTCTCTGGCTCGGTTCTATTCTGCATGCCTCCCAAAACGCTGTCACGGGATCACTGATGGTTTAAGAAATATTAAATTCTACTACAGAACCAGGACCGATGTGCAGGTTGCTGTGTACAGAGCCAATCAGGTCAAATCATTTAACTGCAACTGAAGCCTGGTGACTAATGCTGGTGCAGCTCAGTGTCCTCCATGACACGACCCATCAGACTGGTTCCTCTGGCCCATTTAGAAAGATGTTATTAACCCCTTAAACCCGCTTGTGGCCGCTCAGATTTACTTTCCTAAAGAGTTCAAATGGCCGTGATGAATCTCAAACGCAGGCGTGTTAATGGCGTGTTGGAGGAGCAGTGACGCTGAGCTCGTGTTCTGAGTGCGCTACCTTGCAGGACCCCCATGCTGAGGTAGAGCCAGGGCAGACTGAGGTCCAGAGACGCCAGCATCATCCCCGAAGTGGTCAGCAGCCCTCCGACCATAATGACCACCCTCTGGGAAAACCGTAAGGTCAGCGCACTGGCTACCGGACCTGCAGACAGAACCACAGCAGCCCTTGAAGAACACACCGAGGCCAAACAAAACAACCAATGACTGCCGCCGTCTTTACCTCCGAGGTGAAACAAGGCAATAGTGGTGGAGGTGACCCAGGAGGTGGTGCTCAGCGGGACTCCGAAGTGGTTCTGGATGTCCAGGAAGAAGAGGCCGAAGTTCTTGAGGACAGCAGCGGTGAGGCCCATGGTGAGGAAGGCCGAGGCCACCACCACCCAGCCGTACCCCCCGTCAGGAGGCCTGGTGCTCCTGGACTGCATCCTCCTCGTCCCTCTGGCTGCTCGGCTGGCTCTGCTGAAAGGTGGTTATGCAACACGGTTATGAACTTCCAGCGGAGGCAGGGCTTATGGAAACCAACACTCAGCACCAGCAGATGCTCGCAGCTGTGAGACCTGTCAAACAGAGCAGGGACTGGTTCTGGAAATCAAAGGGGGAAGAAATGAACTCTTCCTGGTCCAAAGTGCAGACCAGTTCACCAGGCTGGTGCTGACCTTGATATGGGTCAGAGGAGCTTTAATAGAAGCTCAAATCAGGGTTATCGCCAAGTAGGTCAGAGGTGTTGTGTTACGCTGACATGACAAGGATGGAGGTGTGAAGAGAAAGACCCAAACCCAAACCCCTAATCCAAACCCCTAATCCAAACCCCTAACCCAAACCCAGACCAAACAGCAAATCCAAGAAATGTTCTGCAATAAAAAAGACGAGAAACATCTGCAGACTGGAGGAACGTGCAGCTGACACTGGACGTCTCATTTGCTCATTTCTGTATCTGTCTTATGTTTTCTTGTAAGTTTTGTTGACTTTCTTCTGTGTTATATTTTCTATATTTTCATTTTAATTTGCTTTACCTTCATCTTTTACCCTACCATAGTATTCTGTGCTGTCTTTTTGCCCTATTTGCCCCCTCTGTGGAACAGTCCTGCTGCTGGAACACCTGAACTTCCCTCTGGGGTTAATAAAGTCAGTCTAAGTCGTTGGTTTTTAAATCTTCAGGAATCATAAAGTAGTCCCACATTACAGGAGCAGGATGAAGGAGGCTTCTGAGGAGGTTTCTAATGTTTCTGTCCCAGAAAAAAAAATAAAAAAAAATAAGTGAAGCTTCACAAACCAGGCGACTGATAAACAAATAGAAATAAACAAAAAACAGGAAATAAAAGTGAACATTTTAAAGTGAGTTCAGGTTTAAACAGAATTATTTTATTTTATTCGGAGCGCGCGAGGCTTTTAAAACGTCCCTTCAAATTAAAACGACAGAAAAACAACAACAGCAGCAGCTTCTGAAAAACAGTTTAAACTCACATTTCTTTTCTCTCTCGTTACGGTTCTCCTCCCGGTGTCCTCCACATGTCTACCGGGACACCACCAGCAGCTCTCCGTGCGGCGGTCCGCTCCGGTCCGTCCGCTCCACCGGCAGCTCGGGAGGTGGATCCGGTGACCGTTAGAACCGGTACCGGCCGTTTAGCCTCGTTCCTCCTCACGCTGATCAAACAGCACCACGAGCAGTCGGACTAGTTCGAGCAGCAGCGGGCTGTCATCATCCCGACTGGACCTGAGAGCTGCCGGCGAACCGACCTGAGATCAGACCGGGCCAAAGCGCATCAACGGCGGATTTCAAAATAAAGTTCCGCCTAATCCTGTTATTGTGTTGCTGCAGTTTTCATGTAGATTTCAAAATAAGAAAAAAATAATTAATGAGAATTACATAATTATCTTGTAAAAACCAAAATAAATATGTAGGTCAAGTTCCTGTGTAAAAAGATCGGTCTGACCTTTGCTTTAAAGTCTATTTATAGCTTCTTCTTCTTCTTCTTTAGGAGCTGTCCAGGTGGTCAGCTTGCAAAAATACAGGACAAGATAAAACACTGAAGGACGTTTAAAATCACCCTTGTATGCACTTAATTACAATGACATCTTGCTGGCAGTTTAAATCAATAAAGGGCATTCATTCGTTCAAATATAATTATAAAATGATTTTTTTATAAACACATGCACCCCAAGAAACATGAACATTGCTAAATGGGGAAAAAAAAAGATCATTTTAAGTACAAACTATTACAAATGTTATTACACTTTCCCCCCCCCCTTTAAATCTTTAACGCAAAACACAAACAAACCAACAAAAAAACCCACAAACATCACAGAAAAATTCCCTGAGTGTAAATAATTCTGATTTACAAACCTTTCGTCTGTCATCTCTCCTTTTTCTCAGTGGAAATGGGAAGGCATTCTTCCTTTTTTGTGGTAAAAAACAAACAAAAAAACCCTGTTGATTTTATTCATAATAATAAAGGATCTATGGCATTATAACATTTTTGAGTTCTTTCCACTTCCAGCAGTCCTTGTGCTGTTTCCACGGAGGTGCAGGACTTAATACTGCCGTGAAAAGTGAACTCACAGTGAACAACAATATGACGGAAACCAGCCAGAAACCGTTCAGGCTTCAGAGGGTTAACGTTCGTATGAATCCTTTATTTTGAAGGCTGCAGTTCAGCAACTAGCAGCTGTGGAGGTGCAGTGAAACCATCAAACAACCTGTGAACTCACTTCATTTACAGCTAAAATATATTCATTTACATTGTCGACCTCCAAATGAAAGTAAAAGACAGTTACAGGAAGTTATAGTTTACATGTTATAAGTATAAAAATGTTTGATTTGTCCTAAAGAAGAAAAAACATCAATGAATAATTTATCTTGATTTATTCTCATTTATTTCCTCACTGGGCTCCATAAATACCTTCTAGGTGTATGAAAGTGCATCACTTTGCATTAACGGAGCCCTAAGCAGCAGTGAACGGGTCTGAAACGCCTGAACCGTCCCCGTGGGTCGCTGTGGACCTGGACTCCAGACATGTGGTGGAAACCCCTTCAAGCGCCCCCCTCAGTCCCTCGTCTCCTGTTACTGCAGTTGCATAATCAGATGTGGGTGGTGCACGCTGCAGAAGATTGGAGATGTTTCCCACTATGGAGCTACAGCTTCACACATCTGGACCGATGAGGAACAAACCACACGCTTGGACCAACACCTGGACAAATGGCCTCCCTGCACCTGTAAAGGATTCAATCTACTGGACGACATTCATGGAATAAGTTAAGACACTGAGTTTGGTTTTGAAGCTTCTTGACAGGGCTGCAGGTGGCTCGGTGGTTAGCACCGTGGCCTCACAGCTAGAAGGTCGGTGGTTTGTGTCCCGGTGAGGACACCCGGGATCTTCCTGCGTGGAGTCTCCATGTTCTCCCCGTGCAGCGTGGGTTCTCTCCGGGTTCTCCGGCTTCCTCCCACAGTCCAGAAACATGCTGAGGTTAATTGGTGATTGTAAATTGTCTGTAGGTGTGAATGTGAGTGTGCTTGGTTGTCTGTCTCTAAGTGTAGCCCTGTGATAGACTGGTTACCTGTCCAGGTGAACCTGCCTTCACCCTGAGTCAGCTGGGATAGGCTCCGCCCCCCATGACCCTGGTGAGGATGAAGGTGTAGAGATGATGGATGGATGTAAATAACGAGGAGCTCAACAGAAGCACTGTTGAATTAAACTGCTGTTTAATTTTCACACCACCTCTGACACTGAAAACATAAAACGATGGATTTTAAATCACTTTGTATGCACTTCATTTACAAGGACATCCTGCTGGCAGTTCATATATAACATTTACTATATTTCCATTTTATAAAATTATAAAATTTTTCTGAACATATGTACACAAATATACTGTCGGTATGTACACACACACACACACACGGATAGAAAACACTCTATTAGTCTGCTTCTCTTCAGGTGACGGGAACAGGGGATGGCAAGAGCTAGCCCTGCTAGCTGTCTGTGAGGACCACACACACTCTCTCTCACTCACACACACACACACACACACATTGAACTTGTTTGCCACGAGCATCTCTAGCTTCAGGCCTGGCGACACCGTGTCTGTTGGAAATGGCATCCTTCCTACTACTGGCATACTGGTTCTGACCCAAAGCAGCGAGTAGGACGTGACAGACTTGAACGTTTTCAGTATGCCAACGATGCACAGACGACATACCACACTGGCCAAATTTCCAAGTACGCCACCTGCCCGGTTCAAGACATTATTTGGCAAAAATGGCGAATACTTCAGAAGACTCCAGCTGTGCAGAGGAGACGAGGACCAGCAGCTTCTCATCGCTATGGTGTGATTTAAAGAATTAGTCGAGCCTCGCAGTTAGAGATGCTGAAATAAAGCTCGCTAGGTAGCAACCGGCAACAACTTCATCGGTACGTCATCAAAGGATCAAGCTTTTGGTTCAACTTCTGCTTGACTTTTTCTGATTTGCCTGAAAATTTCATGACATAAAATCTGGATATAAGATGTTTACGGGACGTTTTAGCTTTGAGCTATCAATTGCCTGATAACGTTTGAGTCTCTGAACATCATGTGAGAAACTCCAACTCCAACAACTTTTACTGTTTCGACTGCATGCGGTTCAGGAAATATCACGACTTCACGATCAATGTTTTTGTCTACGACGGCTTTGCTGGTTTTTATATTTCAACCCGCCCTTAACCAGAGACGGTTTGATCTACGTGTCTGATGTTGAAACGAAGGCATGAAGAGAAATAACAGTGAACATTTGGGATTTTTGAACTTTAACAGCTCCTATTTCAACATATGAAAACGTGCTGAAAATTAGCCGAGAGTTAATTAAAAAAATAAAAAAAATCCTGGAAAGTAATTCGTATGTGAATCTAGGTGGCATTTTTAAAACCCGTAGTTTCGTATGAATGCTCTGAGCCAATCAGGGGTGGTCGAGCAGAAGGCCCCTGATGATCTGAGATGTACAGATATAAAGTTTATGAACCTGCTGTCAGCTGCCAGGTGATCGTTTCCACGGTGATCTGATAAGCCTGTAGTGTGAACAGCGTGTAGCGTCCAGGTACGCGACTCCAAACAGTCTCTACGAGCTCCACAGCGCCTCCTTTAGAACTCTGACCAAAACACATTCTCAGTTTTTCAGCAACATCACCTTCAACAGTTCCACCATCCAGGACGCCACCTCCACGTCGCTGCCGGCCGCCGAGCCGCTCCGCTACAGGAAATGGGGGTTGAGTGCCTCGCTTGAAGGCACCTCGGCAGTAGTTTGTTACTTAAACAGATCCTCGCTCCGAACCAACACTCCTCCAGCCACCAGCTGCTTCCCGCATGCCGACACCCAGCAGGAGGACCTGGCTTTGGCCTTTGTCCCTTTGCCACAGACGGGGCAATAACATTAAGAGCATCTTGGTTGAAAAGGGGGGCGGGGCACTTTGGGTGATCCTAGAACTCCTTGCTGTCCCTGAACAGGTCGATGCGGAGGGCCAGCTCCTTAAAGGACGGACGCAGGCCGGGGTCTTTGTCCCAGCACTCCTCCATGATCTCATGTATCTGTGGGAGGTGAAGAACAGGGAGACGCACAGTTAGCTGAACGCTCATCACAGGTTACGGATGGACTTAGATTCATCTGAAGACGTTTACAATCACGTCTCTGATCATGAAGCGTGACGGAGAAACCATCCTCAGGATTAGCAGTAGCAGGGACTATCTGTAGATGAATTCTGTGAGATGAGCCAGCAACAACATCCTTGTTCCTCATCAGTACAATCACCTGAAAGTTCACCTGAGGGTTCCTGGTGAGACACCACCACAGCTCAGTCTGCTCCAGAGAAAACATCAGCTGCTGGTTCTTTTCATCATCAATCTACTGGGGACAGGAACCGAGCCCCAGGGTGACGTTTTAAACACAGGGGTCAATAAGCTCCGCCGTTAACGGTTCTGCTGACGGTTCCTCGTGTTGGACGTTCTATCTCATCCCTGTAAGACGTGTCTACGATGCACTTTGCTGTCTAAACCCAACAGAACTCCTGCTGTGTGGCTCACCTGCAGCACAAACAGGTGACCGACGATCAAACTTCCCTACAGCCGATGCAGCAACACGTCAGAGCAAAAACACACCAGTCTGTGGAAACTTCCCGTCAAAGCAAATGAAGCTCGTCGTTCGTCCATCACTAAGCAGCTACGTTATGTTTGCTCGCAGCCTGAACACAGAGTTAACTAGACTATACAAACACGTGCTGATCAGTCGAAGGAACGCCGTCCAGCGGTATAAGGGTGGCCGAGTTCATACAGTCAGGCTGGAACTCAGAGCATCATCAGAACATCATCAGAACATCATCAGAACATCATCAGAACATCATCAGAACATCATCAGAGCATCATCAGAGCACAGAGCAGCAGGATTTAGTGATTTTAGGGCTACAGACAAACTCTGACTGACTTTATTTTCTGCTTTTCTTTGACTGAATGCTGCTGCTGAAGATTTACTGACTGTTCACTTCACTAATAAAATCATCCAGTAAAAATACTGTCATGCATTAATTTAATATTCAAAAGTGAAACGGGTTTTATCAACAGTTTACTGATGTTTACCAGATATCTGTTCATGGTGAGCTTTGGACGGTTTACTGAAACATGCTGGATGATATTTTATTGTGAGTAAAACCTGTTGCCCCGCCCACAGCGCTCTGATCAGCTCATCAACACGTCTACAGACGTCTAAACCCTGATACCGTACATATAACATGAAGAAAGCCAATCTTCATTCTGTTCTTCAATTTGTTCATTTTTTTTATCTTTAATAAACAAATGAAACCATCAAACAGTGATTTACTGTCTGACAGTTATCTTCTAGCTTATTTATTGCTTTAAAAAATTCCCATTTTGTCTTTAAAAAGTCCTAAACTTGGAACCAGGAGTCCACTGCAGACAGAGGAGACATGACATGGATCGGCCTGTGGAGGACATCCACCTAAAGCTGCAGCTCCACGGGGCTGTCTGCTCTGTAAATGCACTCTTTGTGTCGCTCTCACTGCTCTCAGCGCTGCTTTCAGCATCAGCTGCTTTCAGTGATAAGACTCCAGAGCCGCTGCACACGACCTCCTCAACACCCGACCGCAGGCTGACGCAATCACAAAGCACTCAACGTACATAAAGAGCGGCTCAGGGCCACATGTTCTCCAGAGAGGACACCTAAATGCTGGACTTGTGTTTACCATGAGGCCAGAGACATGACTCTAAATGAATAACTGCAGTGTTCCTATAGAACCAGATGGTATCTGTGGTGGTGGCTGAAGGGGATAGACTCAGTGCTTTCTGACAGATACAGACAGAACATGTGCAGCTTCAAGGCTTCTCATGGCGTCAAATAAAGGAAAACATGCACATATGTGATGGCTCCTGTCCTCCTCCTCCTCCATGTCTCTCTTCAGCACCTTCTAACACTTCTTTGCTGCTTCAGCTGCAATGAAGCTTGGAACAAGTTAATTTGACAGCTGATCATACTGGTGGTGCTGGTTGGTTACCGCTGAGAGCTCAGTCCTGGAGCCACATGGGAGGGCGGCTAGAGAACTGTACATGTTTGCTAACAAGCTATTTGAAGAGCTGGTACTGTAATATGTGAAAATGGGGATAAACTCCCTGTTAATAGCGAGCTGGCATGACTTTGGACAGATTAATGGAGAGGGGTTCACATCATGATTGATCCTACAGAGGACTTCAGCCGACTGTCTTCTCTGTGGGGGAAAGCCAACAACCATCCTTCCTCCTGCACGTTCTGATTCAGAGAAGAGTGGCTGCATACAAACTGGTCTGCTGTCGGTGGATTTTAGTGAGAGGAGACGAGAGAGGAGGAGCTCACTGAATGAATTTGATCTATTTTATATAATAAACAATCGGCCAGAAACAGATTCAGTGAAAGAGAAATGCAGATAAAAGGGCTTCATATGTGTAAATGAGCAGCTGTTTGCTAACGGGTTAGCCGTATCGGTTTTACAGTATGTCAATGCCAGCTCACATCTGTCAGAATATATATGTAGAAAAACCTGCCTCCGGTAGCTTTCAGAATAAAATCAAGCAGCAGTAGTGGTTCGTACCTCTGTGGGACAGGCCAGGGGTTGAGGCAGCCTGCTGCCTGACTTGAGGAGCTCGATGAGGTGATAGACAATCAGCTGTCCCTGCTTGTCGTTCCCCATCATGGACATGAAGACCTGAGCAGGACAAGGAACAGGAAGCAGGTGAAGTCAGTGAGCCAGAAGCTGATAGAGCAGTCGGGACAGATAAGAGAACAACGAAATGCTTTGACGTCATTAAAATGTACCCAAATTTAAGCAGGTGGTAACGCAGGAGCAGAAATGCACTGAAGCACAGGACAGAAGACGGCTGCTTGCTCATGAACATGGATGCAAAGATCACAAGTTTCAAGCTTTAGAGAGAACCTGACCTTGTAAATGTTTTATGAGACTGAATCCATCATATTTGTAAGATCTCAAAGATGCACACAGTTTATGTTGGTGACTGAACACAAGAGTTAGTCTGACATGTACAAAGGGACACATGCTGCAGTGTTTTTCCTTCCATCCATCCATCATCTCTACACCTTCATCTATGGTCATGGGGGGCGGAGTCTATCCCAGCTGACTCAGGGTGAAGGCAGGTTCACCTGGACAGGTAACCAGTCTATCACAGGGCTACACTTAGAGACAGACAACCAAGCACACTCACATTCACACCTACGGACAATTTACAATCACCAATTAACCTCAGCATGTTTGTGGACTGTGGGAGGAAGCCGGAGAACCCGGAGAGAACCCACGCTGCACGGGGAGAACATGGAGACTCCACGCAGGAAGATCCCGGGTGTCCTCACCGGGACGCCAACCGACGACCTTCTAGCTGCGAGGCCACGGTGCTAACCACTGAGCCACCTGCAGCCCTCTTGACCTTTTTATCACTCCAAAGCTTTTTGCTTCTACATATACATAGACCCCTTTTAACGTCCAGCTATTTTCTGGATTTTCTACACGTGGCTGAGAAAGCAGAGGCATGAAGTTGAGCAGACAGTGAAAAGTCAGTTCAAGCATGCGAGTGCATTTTTGTACTTACTGCAGGGGGGCTGCAGTTCTTGTCGCTGTGGGTGAAGAGCTCATAAAGCACCACTCCAAAGCTCCAGACATCCGACGCCACGGAGAACTTGCTCTCAGTCAGAGACTCGGGGGCATACCTACAAATCAGCACATCGCGTGACTGCCTGTCCAACGCCACCTCTGAAGCAGTGATAAATTTGAAAGACAACCTTGACCTGAGGACAGGTACCACAGTCTGGATTCCACGTCAGTGTCACGGCAAAAACAAACATTTTGTCAAACTGTGACTGAAGAATGTCTACGAGTAGTTACTGCAGCTGGAAGCTAATATGCGGTGTCAGACTTCTAAATTAGTCAAATGAAGTGGACGGCTTCTTCAGTTACGACCGTTTTAGTACTAAGCTCCTGCTTTGTGTTACTAGATAAAGTTATATCTAATCTAATCCAAGCCTCCACTGCAGCTCAACAGCGAGACAGAAGTTTAAAAACTTAAAGTGCATGCACCTGAGCTGACTGATGACCTGTTCCCACTGCATGTGCCACAAACAACAAGAGGAATAATGTTGTGGTTCTTGTTGTGACTCTAGTGTTTCTGGATGTGCTTGGATTACGTTAACAGAACAAACGGTGGAGTTTAGTTGTAAACACACGCGGTACCAACTCCAGCTGAGATGTCTGCTCGTGTACTGGAGTACATAAAACATGACTCAGCAGCTGGTCCGGTCTATCGTGTGTCAGAGTCCCTGGCGTTGTGCCACATGTAATACTAGATACTTATTTCAACACTATTTTACTGCCCTGAGGGGATGTTGAAATTCAACGTTGCTTCCAAAGAGAACAAATCCTAGATGTTGATGTTCTGAGGTTACGAATGATTAGCATCCGATCAGAACGTCTCACTGGCTGCAGTAGTGAGCTTTGGCCAAAACGAGGACTGTCATTACAAATAAAACCATCATTACAGAAAGCAAAACCACCGCAGACTTCTGTTTTAGGGTGGAAAAGCTGTGAATGCATTCTTAAATCACACTTGAGCAGCAATGGGGTCTGACCAGAATATGGGGCTCTCTCCCGGCTCCTTGACCATGTAGTACTCTTTGTCCTGAGGTAGAACTTTGGTGAGGCCGAAATCCCCGATCTTCACTCTCAGCTCGCTCTCCACCAGGATGTTTCGTGTTGCCAGGTCTCTGTGGATGTACCGTTTACTTGACAGGTACTCCATACCCTGCACAAACGACATGTCTAATTAGTCCTGAGCGGCGCCACACAGCATGTCACAGAACAGGTCAGGCAGCAGCACCTTGCAGATCTGAGAAGTGTAATGCACGAGCTTCTTGTGGTCGATCCTCTCCTTGTTTTTCATGAGGTAATCTCGCAGGCTTCCAAAGGGAAGATATTCCATGATGAGACGGAGATTTCGCCGACCTGAGGGGAGCCAAAACAACACGGGAAGAAAAAGAAAAGCATAGATGAGCAGATGCTTCTGGACCAGTTGGTAAATCTGTAGGTACGAGCTCTTAGCCAGCAGTACCTGCGCTGTAGCACACGCCCTTGTACTTGACTATGTTCTCATGCTGGAGAGACTTCAGGATCTCGATCTCCCGCTCAAAGTCCCGTATGTGCTCCGCCGTGCTGTGCTGGAGTTTCTTCACAGCCACGACCTCCCCGGTGTTGTCCTGAAGTGGGTCGTAACGGCACATCTCCACGCTGCCAAAATTTCCCTGAAACAGAAGATCGACTTCACTGAGTCTCCGTTTTAATCATAATGTGATCTTACATTTTACTCTGTCTCCGTCCTACATTCAGAAGACACACACATGATGAGATATAAACTAACGTGAGCTTCAATGAGATACAGATAATGTTAGCATTTAGCTAACTGCTCCACTTGTAAATTCTTGATAAACCCACAACATGACTCATATGAACCCAGACCGTGCTTTGGGTTCAACTACCTCACACAAAACACACTGAAAGCAGTCACTCTTAGCATCTAAGTTAGCATCTAGCATTAAAGGCACCATCATTCCACACACTTCCTCACACCTTGCCCAGTTGTTGTAAGAATATGAGGTGTCTCTCCTCAAACTGGGCCGGCTCCTGGTTTTCAAACCCCCCGGTTGTCCAGCCAGAGCCCGCTGTCCTGTTTGGCAGGATGTCACTGTCCACGATCAGCTCGTAATCTGGGAGGAGACAAACGGACATTTCAGAAATCAGCTGAAGCTGCATTCGCGTCTTCTGAAAGAATTAAAGCCACCTGCGACTTTGCTTCAACATTTTGAGACAAGAAAAACTTGATCCTAGTGTTTGCAGCACTGGGTCCTCTGCTCCCTAAGCTAAGCTAAGCTAAGCTAAGCTAGGCTAACCAACTCATGTCTTGTAACAAACTGCTAATCCCAACGTATCCTGCTCTGCTTGACTCCTCCTTCAGGCTGCATGCGTTTTTATGCCACTATGGCACCTTACTGACGTTGTTTCCTCTCTCTCCCTGGATCTTCTCTGCTCATGTTTCTGTCTGTGGTTAAAGACTTCACTAACTTCACCAGTGCTTGCTGTTTGTTATTTTTCTGCGCTCATCCCTTCCCTCCCCGTTGATCCCAACCGGTTGAGGCAGACGGCTGCCCATCCCGAGTCCAGTTCTGTCCAAAATTTCTTTCTTGTTGTCGCCAAGTGCTTCTCCAGGGGGCTTTGTTGGGTTTCTGTTTTATAGTATTGGTGTCTTCACTTAATTCTTAACTGCACATTATTTTTTGCTTCTGCTTTGCACTACTACTACACACATATATATATTAGCTATTTTTATATTTTTATCCTGTACATTGTACCTCACTGTATATTTATTGTTGCACCCCCCACCAGAACAAATTCCTTGTATTGTGAAAACTATACCTGACAATAAATCTGTTTCTGATTTCTAAGTGACTTGGGATGACTTGTGTTATCATTTGGTGCAGGGCTGTCAAGACAAAAAAATCCACTAGTATCTACTGATAATGTGAAAAAAAATGCTATCAGTCAAATTCATCTTTAACTCTTTCGTAGGACAACACAATCCCATAACTGTGCTGTAGGTTCGTGTCAACCAGAGCGACTGGTGCTGAACTCCATAGAATTTCATCACATGCATAAGATTTCAACGCTTTGTTTTTTTTATAATTTATACCACGATTACCATCTTCACCGTGACATTTATGATGACATCCCAAGTTCAGCGACAGACTTAGACGGACTTAGATGACTTTGAACAGAAACAGGAACCGAGACTCTGTGTTCCCTGACCTGTTTCTGGAAACACTGTGATCAGTCACACCGGGCGTGTCGGACGACATTTACCATTCCGCCCTGGTGTGACCCAGATTCCTGGTCCTGTTGTGACACCATCAGAGCCCTACTGGCTGGTGAGAAATGAACACCAACCTGGTGTGAAGAGGCTGTGGAGGTCACGGATAACGGCGCGAAATGTGGGCCTGAATGTGGGCTCGTAGTCCATGCAGCTGGTAATCAGATTAGCCAGTTCGGTCCACTTTGGTGCAGAAAGCTGGTGGTGATCCTGGTAGAACAGGGTTTTCTGTGACACAAGATTTAGGGTCAGTGTAGGTGTGTGTTTGCATGATCATGCTGCATCAACAACAACGTCTGCTGCTGAAGCCAAAAAAAGAGGCCTCGAGCAAGTTTCCTAACCTGAATACAGTTTGTTCTTCAGGACTGGATACGCTGCATGCTCATGCACGTAATCCTAATTTGGTCACCGTACAAGTCAACACACCTCACAGGAAATGCAATATTATACAATGAGGAGCATCAACAATAATCTGTAACTGATGAGAATCGTAAGACACCAACTGACTCCATCCCTAATGCAGCATTGCTACCGTTCATACTCACAGTAGCCTGAACTGATCCCCTCTGATATTAAACATTGATCTTGATGCATCGTCTATTTTCTGCCATACCGTGCTGCCCTACCTTAGAGCTGTCCAGCGCTGCTAAAGGTTTCTCTCCACCGCTGCAGATTTCCCATAGTGTCGTGCCAAAGCTCCACTTGTCTGCAGCCAGGCTCAGTTTGGCAGGGTCCTCAATACATTCAGGGGGCACCCAAGGGATCCTCTCATTCAGGACTGATCACACAAAAGCATCCCACATACCATTGTAAGCAAATGCCTGACTTTTGGTTAATTTATTGAAACTTGCAGGTGGCTGTGATGCGCTCATTAAATGCAGCATGTTAACCAATAAGCTTTATTCTTATGAAACAAAACAACTCACATCAGTTTCTTACCACTCACTCTGCTTCAGTGTTTGTAACCAAGCACAACACAAAAAGCAGAAACAATCCACCCCACTAGGTAGCCATCTATCGCCCCCTGCTGGCCACAGGGGGTTACTACTACTGAGCTGAGCGTGAACTCACTTTCTTTGGGCAGGACAGTGATGCTGATACCAGGGTCGCTGAGTTTGATGAAAGGAGGGTTCCCAGTCCTCCGGTCCTCCTCTCTGATCAGGAGAACGTTTTTAGCACACACATTCCCGTGAACAAGATGCTTTTCTTCCTGTAGGTGCAGAAGAGAAGAAGCTGATCGGTCTCGTACCACCACTAAATAACACTCTTCTAACAGTTTACATCAACTGTCCATCAAATCTGTTCACGATGCTGTCAGCAACAGATACGTGGACATTTGGGAAGGACTGATCACAGAACAGGGATCGGTACCAGGAAGTTCATGGCCCAGGCCAGCTGCTTCGCCACTTCAAGCTTCCACAGAATGTTTATTGAGTTCTTGTTCTTCTTCAAGTAGGTATCCAGTGAGCCGAACTTCACATACTCCTGCACCATGATGTCTGGAAAACACAGCGACAAACACAGTTAAAAGTCCAGCAGGGATTAAGGGTCTTCACGAATCTTAAGAAACTGTTGGATACAGTTTACTTTTAGATCGTCTTTACCTCATGTACGAATGTATTTGAGTAGCAGATTTAGTTTCAGTGAATTCAAGCAATTTATTTCTTATTTTTTTTAGTTGAGAAGAAAAGGGACACAAATGTTGTGGCACGCTCAATAGATTATATTTAAACTGCCTATTGTTGGCCAAGAGTGGCGCCTCTGACACCTCTGCAGTGGATTTCTGACAGGAACATGAACATGGGAGCGTTTACTCTGGAGGTTTCAGGCAGCTGCAAAAAAATGGGAAATATCACATAGCTGTGTTCCCCTCAGTACAGGTGGAGAACAGATAAGGGAAGGAATTTATTTTAAGAACATTTAAATTTCCAGCTGATCAGTCGTGTGGACAGAGGGCAGTGAAGACAGGACAGATGCCCACAGCACACTGAGCAGCAGAAGTCCTGTGAGGTAAAGACGGAGTTGTGCAGGTGAAGGAGTTTCTGGGGCAGGGTACTGTAATCCTCCTAAGAATAACGCAACGTGCTTATGGTTTGATCGCTGCTTTGAGGCCTGGATTAATAGCGGCTATAGCGGAGGATAGTAAACTGTGGACAGAATTAGACCGTAGTGGCCGTTAGGGCACACGAGGACACAGAGGAGGCCTGAGGCATGCCTGTGTGAGGGCGGATGGACCTGAAGCAGACTTACTCTCCTCCCCGCAGACACAGACGCCGTAGTTCAGGATCAGGTGCTTGTGGGACAACTGGCTCATCATGCTGGCAGCTTCAAAAAAAGACTGTCGGAGGAAAAAGAAAAACTAATCAACCATGTGCTCATGTCCAACAGAGACTGAATACCAACAAGTACCACCTCCAGACCAGCAGCCTGTTTCATCTGAGCTCAAGCATCACTTCTTCATTTAAATGCTATTTAAAACGATGACATACATAAAAAACTGGCCACTATTAGAAACAGCCACTTATGCAGCATGTATATTATCTCTCTGGCCGACATCTCAGCTGACTGGCTAATCCATCATTCACACACCCTCAACAGCAGTACACGATGTCCCAGCGTTACAAGTGATACGAGCTGGTCGGTATATGCTCTATGAACATGTATGTGGCTGTGTGCAAAGGTTTTAAAAAAGAAGTTAAACACAACTCCTTCAGCAAACAGACAAAAACAGTGAACTGTCAAAGCAGGGAAGCTTATTGAGTGTATGAAGTGACATAAATAAGACACGACAGGTCAGAGGCTTGAGTGGTGGTGCAGCGTCCAGAACAATGATCCAAAGTGGACCCCATGAACGACTAGCTGAAGCTTTCTGAACATCACTGAAAGTCATCTGCACATGCAAGACGGCCTGGATTCCTAAATAAAGAACAGAATGACATTTAAAAGCTGTGATTTTTGGCAGTAAGTAGTGACTGAGCGTAGGGTGCAGCCTCACTTATACGACTTATTCTTTTTTTGAACTCATGAAATAAAAGGTAGCAGTAAATGAACCTCTAAAGAACGGTCCTCTCTGAACACCTGCTCAACTTTAACCTCAACAGACGATATGCTTTGTGCAGAGCTCCACAAGCGATTGCATTCAAAAACAAGCCTTTCTGCACAGACCTCGGAGTAATTCCTGTGAGCCTGGTCCAGGACTTTCATGACGACTTCAGTTTGGTGCACAAGTCCGTAGTCTCCCAGCTCCTTTCGGACCCCTTTGAAGATCTTCGTGAATGTCCCTTGGCCGAGACTCTCCATCTGACAGGAAGATCATTATTGCATTAAATTCTGCCCTTTAACGAGTGATTAGCTTGATTATGTCACAGGCCTACTTGCTGGTGAAACACACAGTAATGGTAGTAATGTTGTACTGTAACACAACAATGCAGAACCTAATGAGTGTTCACGTACAGAAGGCTCGAACACATGAGGAACTTGGGACAAATCATAGCCCTGAAACTGCAGACTAAGCTTACAAATTCCAGATCTTCTTTCCTGATCTTGTGAAACACCATCTGACTGATGTTGTGTCGATGCAGCGACGGAGACAGGGGCACTTCTGAGCCTTTGTTGCTCCTGCACACGAGGAGGCAGGACTTTTCTGTCGGTGCAAAGAAAAAGAAAACACTTTTTAGAAACAGATTTTTTCGTTAAAACTAAAGAGTCCACCTGAGAGAGAAGCGTGAGAATTATTTATACGAGTCAGAGGTTACAGGGAAACGCTTTCCTAATCAGTTTCTGTAAAAGCTTGTTTTGGTACGATTGCAACAGCCGGGAACAACTGACACACCTTTGAGTCATCTCGGCTGCTGTTTGGATTCCATGCATTGTCTCGGCTCTTCCTTACTATTAGTGATTAGCCAACTGCTAACCTCTGTACCAACTGATGAAGACAATAACAACCCTTAAACTGGAGTGCAACAGCATTCACCTCTAAAGGGCAACGGGGGAAAGTTTCTTAGCCAGAATCTCAAATAGTGTATCTGTTTATGTCTGTTTGTTAATACTTAGCTATCAACATGCCTCAGCAGTTCAGAACAATTGCATTAAACCTAAACAAACGTGTTCAGTACAGGCACAACTACTCCTGCATTACGTTGTTGTTAGAAGAGACTCGACAAGACGGTGACAACTTCTGTGCTTCCATTTACAGGCATTCATACTAAACTGCACCTCAACATGACCTGATGTGACTTTCATCGGTACAAACTTGGAGTGAAGACCTCTGGAAGTAGTCTGTTTAAAAAGCCAGTTTATGCTTCTCCTCTGAGCCAGCATGTGTCACACTTGCGCCATAACGAGGCCCGTCTGATCATCCCAGCTCAGTTATCTTCTGATGGAACCAAATGCACACATCTGATAGGGAGGACCAGAGTGTGAACTAAAAACCTGCGTGCTTAAAAATACCGAACGAGATGAAACGTGATGTGTCCCTGTTTGGATGCTGAACATTTTTCATTCATGCAGTTTGCTGACTGGACACCACAAACCCTCGTCGTCAGGTTCTCCTTTTATATACTTCCTACGACCTGTCTGTGCTTCCGTCTGCTAGCAGCAGCACACACATGGACCACGCTATTGTCTACGAAGCTTGCACAACAGAACCCAATCCAGATTCTCTCAGGCTTACCTTTAGATTTCGGAGGACAGCACTTGCTGAACTGGAAAACGATGCTGTCCGAGCGCACGGTTTCCTTTTGGTAGCAGCTGAGCAGTTCCTGCAGGCTGCTGAAGTTTCTTTTGGTTCCAGTGAGGTTAAACTCTCCGCTGGCAGACCTGGTTATCTGGCAATGCTTGTACTCTACAGTATCATACACCTGGCCAAAAGACAAAGAAAAGGAGCTTAGAAAGTCAAAATGCATGTAGTTTGGGTTTCAGAGATGGACTCGACATTAAGACAACAGATTAAGTGTCTGCTGTTTGTTTTTAAAATTGACAATTGAACAGGAATCTCTTAAAAATGATTAGAATGCAATCAGCCATCAAACCTTCTATGACTGAACTGAGCAGCAAAGAATTGAAAGCTGGCACAAAATGTTTGGCCAGATCGCTTTGTCATGTTCACAGTGACAGAGCGGCGCACTAAAATGGACCCCAAACCCAGGACTCCAAGACTTATCAGACACAAAGACAAGACAATACTGGCACCAGTATACCCAGTACCATGAGCAAATAAACACACAGGGGTGCAAACGCAGCAGAGGACAACCGACCCAACATCGTTGGTTGCAGACCTTTGAGAGTTTTGGTCAACATACAGCAGGAGAAACTTCACATTTTCACATAATGCCTACCTCAACAGGGAAAGTCAGGAAATATTTGTTGAAGTCTTTGGGACTACATCTTAAAATATACAGCCCCCGCTTGTTTCCACACTTCTGAAGTCGGGTGATGGCGAACTCCATCCTGCAACAACAAACACAACAGTCAGAAAAACGACGCAGGACGACCTGCTAGGAAAGGAAACGCACACCAACCATCCAAGGAGTGTTTCTACATTCATAAATGACATAAATGACATAAATGAAGGTGGCTGGTTGAGTTCAGGAACTAAACATCCCAAGTGGCAGAAATGAAAGAACTGCAGGGATCGATGTTTGTGTCTACACTCCTGTTTCATCAATGTGGAAAGGGTTTACGGTTGTTGAGCTGTCAGCACAAGTCCAAGGAGATCCACCGGCTTATCGCTCACAGGATGCAGCACAAACTAAATGACGTGTCATTACAATCAGGGTATTCAGGGCTTTCTAAAATCAAATAAAAGGCTTTTAAAAGACCTCAACAAATAAAATGCAACACCCTTTCCGCAAGAGAACTTTCTTTGAACTTGAAAGTTCTTGAGAACTTTGGCTGCTGATGCTAGCTTAGTTAGCGCTCACACTTCTGTTTCCTCCATCGGTGGCGGCGGGGGAGTGGCAGATACGCTCCACCGTTACCATCCATGTTTACTTCCATAAACACTGAGCACGCTCGCTGCGTGTGACGTCGTCGTGTCCTCTTCTGCGCATGCGGGACACTTTTGGCTCGTATGAAGTTCACACAGCAGATCACATACAAGTCGCATTGAAGTGGAAACGTGAAGGAAGTCACAAAGAAATCCTCATTGAGCATCAAGTCCTGCAGTGTGAACGTAGCCAATCTGTGGGATTGTTCAGTCAGATAATACGCCGTCATCCTGATTGGTGACATTAAATGTCATGTCGGAGTCACAATCCAAGGCTGTCGCTTTGTTAAGGCTGTTTTTATGGGTTCTGTTGGTTTTTGCTACAAACCTGTCGGATAGCAGGTTTAGGATGTTAAGGGTCTATTATAGAGTCCTGACTGTACATCCAAACTCGTTTCTCATGTCTGCACACAGATAGAGAACTTCTACTACGTGCTCTTAAACTGCAGACATCATGTTAGTCAGAAAGTGAGAGAGAATGATGACAAAGCATAAAGCTGATAATCGTGAAAGCGATCTGCTAGCTTTGAGTCTGTAACACAGACACACACTCAGCTTCCCTTCTTTCCATACTGGTAACTACGTGGAAGCTTCCTCGTCTCTTTCTCTCTTCTGATCTATTGTCTGTTTGATTAAACTTCATGAGAACCGTAGGAAGCAGCTGCAGGGCATCTCGCTAGTTTCACACAATGGCACAATGACCACTGCGGCTCAGCGCTAACAAACTGTTACTGTTCAGATTATAGCGAGTTTCAAACACAGACACAAAGGCTCCGAGTCGGCCTTGAAGGCCCCTGCTTCCTACAGCGGTTACCACCAGAAATAAACTGAAAGTCTGCAGAGAGTCGAGCGAGATTTAAGGCCCTATAAAAACAATGCAAGAAGACAACCTCTGTTGTGCTCCTTCAGGAACAGGAAGCAACAAATTTTATTTTTAAATTAGTAATAATGCTGCATGTTCATAAGCTAGGAGGGATTTCAACATTTAATAATCAAAAACTGAACTTTTTATGGCGGTTTGTGGCCCAGCATGATTTTTTTTAATGGAAAATAAAGTTGTCCTTTACTTACGAAATCGGGCCATGGCAGTGAGAAGATATGGTCTCAACGAGTCGAGGAGGCGCCACTTCTTTACAAAGGTAGTGATGTGCGTCTGTCGTTAGCCGGTAGTAGCCGTCGATGAGGGACACAAAGGAGAGGGCTTCAGACAGGCTGGGGAACTCCAGCTCCTGAAACGGTGTAAGAACCACAACAGAAGCACAGCTTCCTGTCAGACTGAACAAAGCAAACCAGCTTCTCTGTGACACAAGATATTTCTGCGTTTAAAAGAAAGCACGTTATAAAGAATGCTTTAGTGTTTACTCTGATGACCAACGAGGACAGATGGAGGTTTGTAAAGAGGTGAGCATACCAGATTCTTGCCGTCCTGCTTGTTGATGGTGACCACCCGGCTCTCGGCGGCGCCCTCCTTGCTGGCCTGTTTGATGCCGATGTCGGTGACGTCGGGGAAGTCGCACACGGTCTTCAGCTCCTGGCCAAAGGGCAAAACGAACACAGGACGGTTGGTGTTTCTATTCCAACGAGCAACAGTTTTACTTAAAATCAAGCATTTTCTGTGTAACTACAAATATAGGCTGATATAGGTTCTGCCTCTAACGCAGCGGTCCCCAACCACCGGGCCGTGGACCGGTACCGGGCCGTGGACCGGGACCTGGCTGCACAGGAGGAATAAAAATGCTTTATTTTATTTCCGACGGAGTCTGCAGGTTGTTTTATTTTGAAAAATGTCTCGATCGTCTGCAGTCACTTCCGCCTGTGCTCGTTTTGCGCCCTTGACTTCGTCGGTTTTCACGGCCGGCCGCTAATTGGAGCCGTCAGTCCAACTGCTGCCCAAACCAATAAAAAGCAAACGTCTCTGGAGAGCTTTTGTGAAAAGAGGGAGAGACTCGATGCTGAGACAGAAGAAAAAGTAAATACATAATTCTTTTACGACACTTTTTAATTAGAAAAAACGGTTCGTGTTTGTTATATGCGGTCCATAGAAAGCTGTCTTGCTTGAAACCGGTCCATGATGCAAAAACAGGATGCAGATCGCTGCTCTGAGGAACAAACCGCTGCTCTGAGGAACATTTTGCACTGGCTGATGACTCCTATGTTGCCCGTGTCGTGTATTCTAAAATACTGCTTGCATAATTGACTTTCTTTTATGATGATTTCAGCTGTTCTGATGAAAAGTCAGTCAAAAGTAGAATATATATATTTCATGTCATAGAAACTCGATGACAGCACTCACGGTACCAACCTGTTCAGAATCTTTCAGCTTCTCTTGACACCACTGTATGCCGGTGTCTGCCGCCACCAGGATGATGACCTGCCCGTTGGACGGCTCTCTGACCTGGAAGGTCTCCGTGTAGAAGGCCTTCTCCAGTGACTCCATGCTGATGAGGTACTTGAGCTTAAGATCGCGCGCCGTGGTCCGGCACTGGCTGAACTGCTGGATGAAGCGCTTGAAGCGGAAGCGGATTCGCTTGCGTGTCAAGAAATTGCAGTCCTGGATCTGAGCTCTCATATCCTTTGGCAAGAAGGACTTGTAGCTGGAAGAGAACCAGTTGATTTGTGTCTTAAATCCACTAAAAGTCTCACATTGTGTTTGCAAGTACAGCAGGTCAGTTACACAACGAGAAGCCATGACTAGATTATGACACTGAACATGACAGTCGCTGACTTGCACAAAATTTTACAAGAATCAGAGATAAAGTACAACACAAGTAAGGCTCACTGTAGATTCTTAGTATTCTGAATTAAAAACAACAGAGACTGAAAACGGTCCCTTTCTGGAAGTTATTCATAAATGCTTTGTGATCAAATATCTCTTGATTTGAAGCTGAACCTTTAACTTCAGACTATTATATTTGGGAAAAGTTCTGTTTCCTTTTAATGACAAAATTGCTCAACGATGTGATTAAGAAATGAAGTCAGGACATGAGTGAGCAGCCGGTGCAGCATTACTACCAGACAACACTGGTGCAACCATCCCATAACAACACTCACTACTAACTACATCAGTACAGCTGGCTGTCACCTCAGATCATCTTCAGATAATCAGATCAGAAGCAGCTTCTGTCCTGCACATGTACCTTATCGTGTGGTAGATGTCCAGAGGCGACATCTGTCTCTCCTTGGCTGTTCTTGTCATGTCCAGAACAGCCATACCAAGGCACTCCTCCTGGGTCTCGTGGGAGTTGGGGATTTTCACCAAACCATTCACAAAGTCGTTCCTCCACTGCAGACAGAGATGAGAGTAGCCACAGGTGAGCACTTCTGATCACGTACAGGTGTGAACAGATCTATGTTTAAATGGACTGAGGCTGAATTTCTACACAGCATCACGCTCAAGTCTGTATACTGTGAGCAGTAATAAACCAACAGGCTAGATTCATATCTAAGCTGGTTCATGATGATTGTGAAGCATGACTGTGCAAAAACCGTGTTTGAACCGAGCATGTACCAAACAACCACAACCAAGGGCTGCACGGAAAGGCGTCTCCCATGTAACGCTCAACTGAACTGGAGCTTCAACTGTCCAATAGAGACCTTTGGTGACTGGTCTGCACTTATACAGAGCTTTTACTCAAAGCGCTTTACAGTGTGTTCTCCATTCACCCATTCACACACATTCATACACCAATGGAGACAGAGCTGCCATGCAAGGTGCTGCCTGCCATTGGAGCAGCTTCAGGTTCAGTGTGTTGCCCAAGGACCCTCAGACTGTGGAGGAGATCGAACCGCCAACCTTGGAGGACAACCCGCTCTACCACCTGAACCACAACCGCCCCCATTTATGCCAGTGGCTCAGGTGGTAGAGCGGGTTGTCCTCTGATCGTAAGGTTGGCGGTTCGATCCCCTGCCCTGCCACAGTGGAAGTGTCCTTGGGCAAGAAGTGGCTCCCAGTGGCAGGCAGCACCTTGCATGGCAGCTCTGTCTCCACTGGTGGTAACCTTAAGTACTTCCTCATTTACTACAATTTGATAAAATAAAGGCTTTTAATTTGTTTTTGCAGCAAATGCAGAGACACACCGCCCCTTATAAGCTACGACAGCCTTTCTTTAACAACAACACAGAAGCTCAGCTCCTGATTAGACCACAAGGAATTCAACACATCCTTCACAAAAAGCAGCATCTGCCCAGAGTGAATGCGAGCATGTGTGACGGTTTAATAGCTGCTAACACACAATGTGCTCAAATGACCCCCGCAGCGGTGCTTCCCTTCTCCCTTTTAAGCTTTTCCCAAGCCACCGGGGCAGATTTCCACAGGCATAATTCCCACATAATCCTTCAGTTCACGACGAGTTCAGCTCCAGTCATATTACTGGCTCGAGTTACCTGGATTCACCTGCACGCAGCACATTTACATGGCAGCCTGCGTATAACTGTTGACACGCAGCGCTCAAATCATCCATGAAGTCTCTGTTTTACTTCTCATTTGCCGTCCTACGTAGATATTTGAGTGTTGTGTGGAAATAAAGAGCAGAGTGGTACACAATGCTGCTTTGTTTTGATCACAAACACCTGAGCAGCCAACAACAAAGGAGCAACCAGGGCTGGACAATTAATTGAATTTTGATTACAATTTTGGCTTCTATTGATCACAAAAACATTATAATAAACGATTATTGTGCTGCGGCGTGCACGCATATTCCTGAGCACCTTGAACGCACCTGTCCTGTAAGAAAGGCAGCCTTCAGTTGACAAGAAAGGAGAACATCATCACGGATATGGAAACGTTCTGGTTTCAAGTTCTCGGACGTGGAGCAGAAGGAAATGTTTGCAAAGCCTGTCGCGCTGTCGTGTCCACACCCCACGGCCACACAGTTTATAGTAACGTTTCATCACAAACTGGTCGATGGAACAAAAAAGTGCAAGCTGTCGCCGATATATGGTGCATCCCTAATTATTATTATTATTATTACTATTTGTCTTGGTGTTACTAATTTATTTCCGTTTCTTTGAAGTTATATTTAAAGCTGAGTTCTGGTGGTTGAGTTAATGCTAAAATAGTCGTGATGATTATTATTATTTCTGCCATAATCGTCCAGCCCTAGGACCAACTACTCCATTAAAAACCAGAGCACCGGAGGGGACTTCCTGCTGCTTAAATCTTGAGCTTTATTTTCAAACTACAAGCCCCTCTGAGGCATTCATAAAGTTTCACTGCTGAGTCAGTGTGGCTTCCATGTGCCCGTTTAACCGTTTCACTGCTGGTGCACACTTTCCTTGAAACCATGATTGTGGGCATTGTAGTTTATCATTAGTAGACGTTCACCTAATTGGTAGCGGTGTCGTTAATATTCACCGACCACTCCAATGACTCGTAACACCAAACACATCCCAGGAGCACACACGTATAAAATTCTGATTGCTTGAGTAATGTTTGCTAAAAACCGCAATTCCCAGCGAAAAATTACAAAAATAATTTTTATTCTCTTGTGGCTCGTTTTTACAGATTCGTGTCTTCGGTAGGAGTCGATGGCCGTGGGGCTAGGAGCCACAGACGGGTGGGAAAAGCAAAGAGCCGAGGTCTTTGCTTTTATTGACAGTATATAGATTATTACCAGCCGCATCCTTTCGAGCTACTTTTTGTCAAAGGGTCGCCTCTAGATAACAAAGCCTCCGCTGAGCAAATTCCACGAACGAGTTCGCACAAAAAAAATCCACACTTCCAAAAGTCTTGAGGGTCTGGAGAAGCCTTTTGCTTCGTCATGTCAGCGGAGCTTCACTCCTGGTGGCACCGTTTCAACAGAAAGAACATTTTCTTACATGTTTGAACGATGGTAGCACACAGGACGTCTTTGTGAGCACTAAAGTGGGGGTTTGATTTTGCCTCTGCATTCGGGCATCGTGCACGCTGCGATGCATGTTTCTGTACGTAAGCAGCAACACTGCCACCCGACTGAATTCTCTCACGCTAGTGTTGCGACTGCACTCCCTGAACGTGACAGCTGCCGTCACTTGCTTGCAGAATAAAATGTTCCAGCGCTACAGTTTGTTACTGAACCAGCTTCACCAGTGCCTCTGATGCCATTTAAAACTGTGTCCCAACTCATAATCTATCAAACTATCTATCAAACGCATTTTTCAAGGATATGAACGGCTTGTTTTTGGATGCTGCGTCTACGACACTGGAATGCACGCCGACAAGCCGACCCACACAGAAAGCACCAGTTTCTGGAACATAGAAGATGCCATGTGGCCGTGCTTACCTGACAGAAGAGGTACGACATTACAAAGTCATCAAGCACAGGGCTTTCTGCCCCCTTGGCGACCCCGTATCGATAAGCCCGGGATGCTCCACCGCTGTACCAGCCAGGGAAGTAGTACCTAAAGAAAACGCAGACAGTTATGAGGACATGCTGTGTATAAAGAGATATTTCTGATAAAGAAATGCATGCGAACGCTACCGTATTCTGAAGAACACATCTTCAGAGGCTGAATCGTCAAGCTGGAAGATGTGGTTGGGTGAAAACCACAAGTGGTCTCGCTCTCGGAAGAGACCAAAAAGGCAGCAGTACAGAGGTGAGATACCTGCAGAGATCACAGAAACCACAACATGTCCTGTGAGCTTGTGCTTCATTTGATCTCACAACAAACTAACTGAACAGACAGCAGACTTGTAGGATGTGTGGTATGTGGGGGAGCTCTGACATGCAGACACTGTCATGAATTAGAAAACTATCTGTCTCGAGCACCAACGCAGGTGAACAAGAGGTCAAAAAAGACTGTCTAAAATGTCAGCTGTGTTTGGTTTATCATCAAACACACACCATGCAGGTGAGTCTCCTTCCTCCTGCATGCTCTTGCTGTGTTTAGGTGGAGTCACACTTTGACTGACTCGGAAACTTTACCCCAAAAAACAAGCAGAGCAACTATACTGTTCTCCCTATAAAGAGTTAAGAGAGTTGGAGATACTGCAAGCAAAACAGAGATGGAGATGACTGAAAAGTATTTTTCTACTGATAGTTTTCTGCTTGATAACCTTATCTCAGGACCTATGCTCTACAGCAGAACACATGAATGAGGGGATTTGGCTTCACGCAGGCTTGAATACTCACTGCACGCCTTGGCTGCATCTATGCACAGCTCCTCAGCCACATAGTCTCCAGGTGGGTAGCTGAGAGAGCCGCGATCAGCCGCTCCCTGGCTGCTGTGGTAGAAGTGAAGCCTCAGAACAGCAGCGGCCGGTCTTGTGTCTGGAGATTCCCGGTGGGCGGTCCCGTTCTGGTGCACCGCGGGGCATGTGTCAGTCACAGTGTCCATGGCTGGCAGGCAGGCCATCGACTACAGGCACCCTTCAATCAGACGGAGGCCAAGTGTCAGCAGGAGGAGTCATGGCTCCTAGGTTTTGTTGTTATAGCAAAGTGTGATAAATGCAATATTGTGATCTGCGTACGTGGTATGAACAGTTGCATAAACTGTTATCAAAAGTATTGCATAAAGCTGCAGCACAGAGGAACTATTGTCTGGAAAAAGGTTATAAAATCTGTAAATCGAATTCAAAAATAGGTTACTCTCAGCCAGTTATCAAACAGAGTCAAAAGTTTAATTGTACATGCAGTGTTGGTTGAATCTTTCTCGTTTTAGATTCGTCAGCGTCTCATAATTACTTCAGTTTAAGCAGACGTGGCTGTCCATCACTGCTAAGGGATATATTACATATACACACACACATATATATATATGTATGTATATGTGAGAGATACATTCTGTACTGAGCAGAGGCAAAGCAGAATAATTAAATCCTCTCTGCTATTCAGCCCACCAGCACTCCCCTTTCCTCAATGCCAGTATTATGTCAAACCCAGAGCTGAATTATGGCTGCATGTCCTCCACATTTCTAACCTACCACCAGAGCCCAACCACGATACTATCTGGCTAACATTAGCTATATCGCTGTCATCTTTTTGTTGTGAATATTTATATTTTTGTTTGCTACCAACAGCAGCAGAGCAGCTCCGACCCCCACAAATGACTAAAACTCATTCTGTCTGGGTGACGAGGGATGTAATTAACACAACACTGTGTTGATATGTGCAAACGATTCGCTCTCCTTTTCCAGCTTTACAGATGCACACGGTGGATGCAGCTGCACTTTTTCAGACTGATCAATAGAAGAGAATAGATTTGCATGTCAAAGTACAAATTGCAAAATTTGGCAAAAGTTACCAAAACCTACAAACCAGGAGAGGAGCAGGACAAAAGCTCAGCACGAAGCAGACACTACGGCCAGTCATACGGAGAGACAAACAGAGCAGAAGACGGCTTGTGTTTGTGGTATAGAGCCATGACCAGTTCTAAAGCTGTAGGTTTATACGACTATACTGGGAGGCTCCACGTATTCAGACACATCCGTCCAGGTGCACGACTTGTTGACTTTTACGGCAGGATATCACAAAACAAATACAGGCTCAGGGGCTTGTGAATACTAATGCCGTCTGCTTTGTCGCATACATCAGTTTGTAGATTTCTTCCCAGTCTGACACTAATCAGTCGCTTCTCTAAATCACTGTTATTAGATAAATCCATTCATGGTGCAGTCTGGGGCTGAACGGTTCGGGGAAATTTCCAGTCGCACTTTTTTCAAGATACGCACTCTGTAGCATATCTAAAACATGTGATGGATCACTACCAAAGTGACACGAGGACACGCACAGGAGCGACAGCGTACGTGTGGAAAACCACTGACAGCATAATGTCGATCCTACATTGCAGCCTTTGTGATATCGTTTCAAATGGCGATATGAACCAGATTAACCATTCAGCCCATCGTGTAAGACAACAGTGACCAGTTCTCTGGGGTCCCTGCTCAGAATGGGCCTTCAGGTGAGTGACGACGCATGACTGGTCAGCCTGCGTTGACATATTTGGGAAAAATCGATGCATTTTCTTGTTATTTCAGATAATTTAATGACTGGTTATAATATACATATATATATACATATTTTCTCGTTGTTTTCATTCTGTTGCTGGTGTTTTTCTTCGGTGCTGCCTTAAATCTCTTTGGTTGGGAACATAAAACATCTCATCAAAAATCTCTCTATGCTGGGAAAAACTACATCCCAATTTCTCAGATCCCCGACGAGCCCGAGGAAACCGCCGCAGTCCAAAAGAGATTTTCACTTCACGAAAAAGTACAAGAAAAAACACACATAACTGAAGGCAAAATGAACAAGAAAGGGAGACGAAATGAGCAAAGGCTGATGTTTGAGGAAGTAAAAGTAGAGTAAGTTCCACATTTTTGCATAATAACAATTTCTTTAGTCAAAAAGGGTTATTGGTTGGGTTTCTGTCCATCGACTACGTGGATCAGTTTATTGGTTAATGAGCTGTGAAACACTACAGCTAATGCAGTGGGATGTAAGGACATTCCCCACAGAAGGATGGAAAATGGACATAACACATGTGACAACACTGAACTTATATATTCTGTTCTTCTAAACACTTTCTGGTGAAATGCTAAACAACAACTCAACAAGACTTTTCAGCACATGTTTCTCTTGAGGCTCTTAAATTGCAATATTTGGACTGTAAGGAGCATTAAACAGATGCACAACCGCACTTTAAATCATCCTGTGTTGTATATCTGGATACAGGGTAGTTTTAACTGTAAATAAGAAAGTCAAAACTAAGGGGAAAAGTAGTATTTTCTGTTTGCTGTTCAGTGCTTACCCAGTGGATTACTATGTCAAGCTGCAAACTCCAAAATCGATAGTCAGACAGGACGTATCTAGTCCAGTATCTATAACTTAGCTGCTGAACAAACTCATCAAGGCCGTGATCTTGTGTGCTACAGTTAGCTTCAGTAGATTAACTCCAGCAGCTAGCAGCCTCACACACCCACCAACATGAGTTACATGTCACTGGAGCGACGCAGGCAAACGCATTTCAGCAACTTAACCAGGTCACGTTAGAGGTTTTGTGTTGAACGCGTTCAAAGACCAGAGCGGCTAAAGCTGTCAGCGAGTCGTTAATGAGTGTAAATACTTACTTTGGTCGGTGAGCCAGACGGGCAGCTAGGTAGCCTGCTAGCTCCCTAGGCCAGCGCTGCAGCCGGGACGGGCGAGAGTTTGACAGCTTCGGCCGGACACCGCTGCCTCCCTTCTTTGAGATTAGTTCTCAAATAGCAGCCCGGATAAATAAGAAATTACTCACGGTCGAAATCCATCTGGAAATACTCATATTTCCGCGTCGCACTCAGCCGGCTAGCTGGCTAACTCGCTACATAAGCTACCCCTGGTCAGCCTAGCGTTGCCCATCTCACTCCGGAGGAACTTCAGCCGTTTATCTTGTCAATCTTGTAACTTAAGCTAACGCTAGCTTAAAAAACCGCGTCGTGCTCGGTCACACACTGGCCCCGAGACACGGCATTCATTTGCAGGCGGTCATCTTCTCGGACCAGAACATGTGGCTACGGCTCGGACGACAGCTACATTATTGACATATTGTCAACTCAACAGCTTTAACTCTGACAAGGTTGCTAGCTACTTGCTACAGCACAGCCGAAGCCCCGAGTGAGTCAACAAACCAGCCTCTCCCACCACACCGGCGCTGCGTTCACGACCGTCGGAAATGTCACGAATGTTCCACTTACGTACGTCCGAATATGTAAGACACTTAAAAACACTAAAATAACAACTGACTGCTATCAATGTCGGTTTTTAAAAAAAATGTTTGATGCTGTTGAAACTATTCATTAAATAATTTCCACATCAGAACAACCTCAAACGTACTTTGAACCATATTAACATAAACTAATTGTTTTTGTTGGAAAAGAAAATCGGTTAAGACAGAATAACGGGGTTGAAAATAAGCCTTTAAAAATATTTTATGAAATATACATCCCAAAATAGGCAGTTTTGCTAATTATTCTACGTTGCACAACAGTATGAGCGGAAATCCAAGTAAAGTTTGTCACTTATTTTTATATAAGCTACTAATCATGTGGCGATGGGGATAAGTTAAGCATACCTTCAAACATTTTTCTCAGTTTTGCACAATAACTATGCCCCGCTGCAGAGCAACGTCTCCACATACAGCCAATGTCACAAAAAAAGTCTGCGGGTGTAGAAATAATCTTGATAGTTTCCCAACTTCATAGCGTGTTTTTTTGCCTCTCACATATAAAGGTGCACACACAGTCTGACTATTTCTATCAATGCCTGATCACGTACAGGTTATTCAACAGAGTCTGTGGAATTACAAATTTACGTGAAGCCCTTGAAGGCAGCATCTTCCCAGTGGACGTCCCTTGGCTTGTCTGTCAGCAAACCAACAACCAACACCCACCCACCGAAACTCCAGTTAACCACTAGCTGGTCACACCACAGCACCGTCATACAGGAGGAGGGAGACACAGCACGATAGTACATGACAGGAAGTGCAATGTGGTGAAATACAGCTGGAACAAATGTGTTTTTAGTGACAATAATTCACAATTTTAGTTGGTATTAATTAAACTTTCTA